TAGCCGTTTATAAACGTTTTCCCTTTGCCGATGGATCCACTTCCCGTTCTAAAATTCGGAAAGAAAAGGAAATTGATTGCAGCGATAATTGCAACAAAAAGGGTTAACAAATGGGGATTTTCTTTGGTAAAGAAAACTTTGAATGGGGTGTTGAATGCTTTGATGTAGTGTGATATACATCTCGTTCTTATCATTGCCTTTGTTTTACGTTGATGTCGTCTCACTTCCTTCCATGGTCACACCGCAGACTTTAGAAATTCGCAGGGAGGATAGTTACGACGAAACTTGCTAATGCAAATCCATGCGAAACTCGCGATCCATTGATTTTCCTCTTTATTCTCTCCTTTTTCTGATTTTCTTTCTGTTTTTGAAAAGATCTTTCCCCACTCAATCGATCTTTTCTAAGTACATATAAGACAATATTCATTTCGAATTCTGCATCTTTTTCTTAGATCGCAAGCTGTTAATCTTTTTTTCTCCCCGAAAAAACTTATAAAAATCCAGAGCCTCGTTTTGTTGCGGAACTTGTTGTTAATGAAGTGCATGGTAAACTAAAGCTTTAGTTGTTGTACGCGAAGTGCAAAAGTGCAAGCTTTCTACGTACATACTTGAGTGTTCAAAGCTCCTAACATCTTGCTACTTCGTTTTGCTTTTTAGCGCTTGATTTCAATTTACATATTACGTCTTAGATACAAATGGCATTTGCAAATCCTACCAAACTTTCGGTGATTTTTCCGGTAGTTTTTTAGCATATTTATTGAAGCTTTCTTTTCGTCTTATTTCCAGCAGCTTGACAAACGCCTCTCTCAATACTCTCTTGAGTAGAAGATATTCAGACTTCTAAATTTTGAAAACCTTCCATTTTTACTTTTTCCAAAAATTTCGCCTTTTTTGTAAAATACGGTCGATTAAGTTTCTATGCTAATGTGTGCAATTGCACATATTCCGGGATGTTTGCGATAAGGCGCGAATCTCTCAACTATGTAAGAAGTAGCACCATGTAATCACTTACGTTTCTTCAAATATTTTTTTGCCTAAGCAACAAAGAACAGGAAAAAATCAAGAGAAAATACTTTGGGTCTCATGAATAATTTGATAATAGGCAATCGTAACGAGAAGGCTGCCCATACCTTGCATAGATTACTGAAACCAAGGAGGGAATAGCAATGGGGTGGAGGAAAGCCTAAATTCACAGCTCCGATGTTTAGCATCTGCATTAGGAAACTAAATACCTCTCAGCATGCACGAAATCATTTGCTTCATTTTTTTGTATATGGTCATCGCTATGACAAATACGAAGTAATGACAGACATGCATTTTTTATGATGTGTAAGTCCACACCTTCTGTATTTTTTGCTGGATTAGTAGATCAGAATCCACCAAACCTTATTATCTTACTCATTTGTTTCCAGCTTCGAGAAGTGTTCGCTACCACAATTATGCTAGGCTGTTCGGATGAAGTATTATTCAGTCGAAGATTCCTGATCTCAAGAAGGAATCTGAAGTGCTTTGCGAGATTTAATAGCTTTTATAAGCATATGGATCTCCTATAGCCCTTGCGCATTCTAAAGAATTATAGGATGTATGATTATAGGGTTAAAGATAGCGGGGATAGTTCCAGAAATTGGATCAGCACCCTTCGCATAGTCAAAGAATCGACCGCGTGCGCCGATCCTTTTTCTAACGGGTTCACATCACTTTTTCGATGCGGGCAGTCCCATTACCGGGCGCTGACCACAAAGGCGAGGCCCCGACGAGAGATTCGATGCTGTTCTCTGCTAAACACACTTTTTTTGTTGCGTTCTTCTGCTCTAGCTCCTCTTTCAAAAATTGATTTGGGTAAATGCTGCCTTGCGCGCATCTTCAATATCACAGAAGGGTAGAGGGTACCAAAAATTTGGCTGCATTTCGTAGTTTCTGCTTACCTATTAACTACGCCTCGGTATTCCCGATCAATAATTCGCTATATTACTGGTTTGTTTAGAGTGTGCATAGGAATAGGTTTGTTCAGTTCAATTATTCTGTTAAAATTTTTTTCAGAAATGAAGGTTTTAGTCACATTAAAATATGTGCCTGATTTGTTCAAGGCGACATACCAAATACATATATAACTGAAAAATTAGCTCTATAGACGAATTTCGCCGCATGATGATGTTCTCTAATTATGTCCGATGACTTACAGAATTTTTGATTCGGTAGTAATTGAAAAATTTTCAAAATTTTATGAAAATAAAATGCATTTGTGGAAAATTTTTATGCGGTATGGACGCCAACCATTTTGAAGACTATTGGAAGTTCGCCAAAGATATGGGATATTTTACATGATTTTTTTTCTCAGAAGAGCCAATGCGCTCTCTCTATTCGAATAGATTTTTGTCTTGCCCTTTTCAGCAAAAAATTTCTTTTTGTACAGCCACTGCTCTAACATACTCTTTTATCTTCATGTGAACGGATTTCTTCGGATATCTCCAGTGATATAGAATAACTTCACTGGCATTTTTTATTGAGCCTCATTCGTTCCCTACATCGCAAACATCTGTTAGTTCGCGCTTTCAGTGTAATTTGGTAAAAATGACATTTGTTCTTCGGAGTGCTGTCAATATTGCTGCGCACTCCATATGAGGCAGCAGAAATATCAGCTTACCCCAGATGTGTTCGTAAACAATTTTTTTTGCTCGTGCAGAATGTGTATAGCCATATGTCGAGGGCAATCATCAATCATTCTGAGCAGAAGCGCATCCAGAAGCTCTTAGATTTGCGCATCTTCACCGCTATATGCTATTTTTAGGCTCTCAAAATTTATGCTTGTTTTGAAATTTTTGTTCCACCTTTTCCAGTGCAAATATACCAGTGGTGGTCCCGAACATTTTTTGGCAAGGAAGAAATTGAAGATTTGTTTCATGTTTGTATGGGACTCAATAGTTGTCATGCCGTCCAAAAGTTTCAGATGCCTCAAGCTCTTCAAGCTTGTAGCCTTTGAATTTTGCAAAAAAAAAGAGGACCTGTGTCTAACGTTATGTATTTCTTTAAAACTTAATAAATTCATTTTAATCATTTTCAAATGGAATTAGCGAATAGTGCAAAGCTAAATTTTCATTGGCTAAAAATTATCTCAATCTACAAAGAAAACAAGGTAGTTGTGTATTTTCATAACTCTTGTGGCACTAGTAAAACCTTTTACATCTTTTTCGGGAAAGGAAGAAATTGTAGACATTCCTAAAAACACTGGATATGTTCTAAAAAGTGTTATTGTAGCAGTGAGGGGGAAATTGAAATTCTTTTCAACTGTAAAAGCCGCAGAACCTTCCTCTAAATGTCTATGTTGTTTTTACACACTTTCAACTTCTTAATCGGATTAGCGATCAACTGACAAATCTTCCCCATCCAGTTCGGATTTCAGCCCAATGTCTGCTGACACATTCAATCTTGTACTGTTGTCGAATCGCTTGTCATTTGTCCGAGCATCGCTCATCATCGGATGTAATGGTGACAGCTAGCCGAACATCATAGCCCCTATGTATGACTGTGGTTGTCAATGATGACTGGACGACATTCGTGCACTCATCGCCTCTTGTCCTCTCGGGTTAGAGACATTCATCCTTGCTACGTAGTATTCTAAAAATGGAAGAGCTGGGTTGGATCATGAGGAAATTTATTTTCATCAGCTGGATCATTCACTGCAAACTTTATTCGCTAGAGGTTACGGAAGACATCTCATCACATCCCTTCCAAATACTGACGAAGATGAACACCCCGGAGTTAAAATCACATGCTTACTTAATTTACATTTTCTCTTATTATTTTCGGACCATGTTCTAATTTACATTTTCGTCTTGTAAAGTTATGTCATTCTTTCAATGATGTCATTCATATCATTCTTCATTCAAACAAAATCTGAACCGCGAAATTTTGTAACCATAATTCGAGTAAAGTAGCAAATGAAGTTCTTTCAAACGTGCCAAAATTTAGGAAAATCGATCATGGAATCTCAAGTTGAATTTGTTGTAATTGGTCTTTCTTACAGGCGTAACTATCAGTAAAGATTACAGTCTATAGATAAGAGTAGCTCTCGGTCTTGATAAAAGTATTACCAGCTTTTGGTAAGTCTGATCTCAAAAGTAGAGCTTTGTCTAAGTAGTGGGTCCATTTTCACGGAGTTCCAGAGAAAAAAGTGTTCCCTCAAATTTGCTAACATTTTGATCTTACCTCTCCCCTTATCGTTCTTCCCCACCTTACAAATTGTAAACATTCCTTTGAAATTCTTGTAAAGTTTCAGTAGTTACTGAATAATTACTTTTAGCAATTCCTCTGGAAGCTTTTAATTGCACGTTGTAACTCATTATTCATTATTTTCAAAATTTTAACGAATAATGAGTGAAGTTGAGGTATCTAGAGCAGAAGAATCTTTTTGAATTTGATTGCGGGTCGGGTGTATAGTTATCTTTTTTTTCTGAACTCACTATAAGGTATTCCTGACAAACTCCTCTTAGAGAACAGTATTATCCACTCGATTATTTTTCTTTTCGTCCAAACTAGTATTTCATTCTCATTTTTATTTATTCTTTTTTTGCATATTGTTTTTTTGCTAAGTGTCGTTTTGTGCAACTTCTCAACTCCTCACATGATTTTCCCCAAATTATTTTCTCTCTCAACTAAGCTTGAATTTTCTTCTCCATATGTTTCGCTAACGTTTGTCTGTTTGTATAAACTGAAGATAAACACCAGAAGCGTCGAGCACGTGCGCGGATTGCCGGCACTTGCCAGTGATCCCCACGACTTCTGAACTAATCCTGTCCATCCAGCTACTTGACCCACATCAAACTCTCTTGTCTATTCTCGATTAATCGCAAAACCAAATCACTCATGCTGTGTCCGAATCGCGATTTCTCTGTGTCCTTCTTTGCAATTTTCTCTGCATGGCTCTCTATTGACCGGCTTTTAAATTGTAGAGAATCTCTGTGAAATAAAGTTCTTTTTTAGATGTTGGATCGAAGGAGGTTATGCTGATCGCTAAGACACTGCTGACCTTGGCTTTTGCCATAGTCTTTCGTGGTCTCAATTCACAAGGTAAGTTCTGAACTTCTTTCCACAATTTTCGGCGATTTCCTTTTTCGTGCTGTTAACAATGTTTCATCTTTTTTAATCCTTGGAAGTTTATTTATGTGTTCTCTCGCAATTTCTTTTAGTGGCTTTTTTTCCGTCGCTGAAATTATCATATCAATTTCTCATTCAGAGCTTTTGCATAGCCTTCCCATGTTCAAAGTGATTATACTTCAATTGCCCACATGCTTTCAAATTCTTGTTCTAGACTGTGAATGGTGAGAGTCATTATTTTGTCGTTCTGCAGGTTGAACAAGCATTAAGTGACTAACAACTGAAAGATATCTGGTCGAAGTGGTGTGTCCATATGAAATGTGCATTGTCTTATAGAGCATGGAACGCTGATTCCAAATCTGCTTTCATTATCTGCAAAACGCCTTTGGGAGGAGAGAGAATTATGGGTGAATTTTGAGGCAAAAGTTTAAACCCGCTCTACAGTGAAATCATTCGGAACTGTAGCCTGTGAGCTCAAATGGGACTATGATTACTGCCATGACGCTTTATGTGATTATTAGCTTCAGTCCAATGATCTATGCCAGTCATTACTTCTTTCGAGCACAGGGAGGACCTTTTCACAGTCAAACTCTTGAATTTTTTTTAAAACATTCCCATAATTTCCTTCCCAAACACGCTTTGCAGATCTTATATATAAAGCTGAATGTCTGTTTGTCTGTCTGTCTGTCTGTATGTATGTATGTCTGTGTGTACGTATGTTCCGAATAGAAAATTCCATTTCTGAACCGATCGGGACCAAACTTGGCACACATACACTTCGGGCCCCGGCGGGTGTCATAGGCTACTTTTCGTCATCGATCGATATCGATAAAATCGACATCGATCGATAACGAAAAGTGGACTGTGACAACCGCCGGGGCCCGAAGTGTATGTGTGCCAAGTTTGGTCCGGATCGGCTAAGAAATGGAATTTTCTATTCGGAACATACGGCGGAGCCGGGTGAGCCAGCTAGTACTCCATAAAACAGTGCACATTCCATCTGAAAACTCCACTTCGACCAAGTATCCTCCCCCTATAAGAAGCTGCTGTCATCTTCAATAAAACATTACGATGATTTTTATATAATACTCTGCCTTCGCATTATAATGAGTAGATTTATTTTTTCGAAGAATCAAGCAAAACTTCAGCATCATTTTCATCGAAGGTCCCAGCACAAATTTTTGTGCAAATTCCAACAATATATTGAGCCAGCTATCATGACAATGGTGATATTAGTTTTGTATAACTTACGCTCATTACAAAAAAAAATCATTTTTTGGTGAGAAATGATAGAAAGAAAATTTTCTTCGCTTTCATGAATTATCTTAGCCAGTAAGCCCTAAACCTCTTCGAATTCAAGATTCTTGCTTCAGGATAATTACTAAATTTTTAGTTCTACAAGACGCTCCACCAGACAAATCATCAGACGATGAGGTGAGAGCAGTGCAGTTTTTCGAGTCAACCTCAAGTTTTGTGTAGAAAATGAGGCGTTTTTCTAGGAATCGAAGTTCGTGGTGCAGAAGGACGCTCGATTGCCCTACTCGCAGCTGACAGTCGAATTACCGGCTCGTCACTCCGCATATGACCAGTTTATCGCCAAAGTCGTCGACATCACACCCGCAGTGTGAGTGGAGTTTTTCGGGCGAATCGAAGTGGGAAAGAAGTCGACACATTCTGATTTTGCCTGAATCAGGGCTGGTTTGCAGAAGGTTTCAATAGCTGCAAGATCTCGGGAGTTGAACTCGAACTAGCTGCAATTTTTTGCAACAATTCGTCTTTTGCTCTTTGGTTTACTTGTTAGCGGGCAAACTGGATGCAAATAGCACGAAAATGGATCCACTTCTTTTTACAAAATTCGTGAAACACGCATAGCAATTGCACCTTGGGCTTGAGCAGAAAAATGAGGATTTTAGTTCTTGGTTTTCTGTTCGTTTTGTGTACACATATCTTCCCACGGATTTATGTGCTAGGTTGGAAAGAAAAGAATGTCGAGAAATTAGGATAAGATTGAAAAACTAATAATGACAAACTCCGCCCCGTAGTAGTTCTAGTACGCCCATGCAGTCGTGTATTACAAAGTTTAGAGACTTTAATCATGAAATTTGGGCCTTCAACATGCTCTAGTTCCTGAGAAATACCAATTTAGCTGAAAAAAACCGAGAAAGGCGATATTTTTTCTTTCCAACCTAATATTATATGAAACCACACTATTTTTCGAAATTTCACATTACATCCGGATGTGCCTCTAAGGTTAAGACCTTGGTGATTTGTACTTTTAGAATTTACATAAAAAAGAACAAATCTCACAACACGTATATTCCATAAAATCACCTTGAAACTTCTGCAGTGATTTTTTTCTTGTAACTATGGCAACAGGCTACTTACCAACTTTTTTAAGGCCGATTTTTTAGAGGCAAAGTACTTTTGGAGATTTCTTGCAACCTTCTGCTTAGCATACTGTCTAGTACTAGATCCCAAATTAAATGTGACAGTGAAAACTGCATTTGATTCCAAAGCAACACGCAGGTTGTTTAGAATCCGGTTTCGCACCTAAATAAAAAGGCGTCAAACAACTCTCATTTTTAGTTTCACTCTTGACTTTGCAACGTTTTTAGAGGGTCTTAAAATCAGTATCAAAGCAGAGAGCACTCAACTTTAGTAGTGGCAGCTGCGGGTTCAGCTGTGCAAAGCCTGTGCGCACTAACTAAAGCTTTCAGCCTTGGGGGCCAGTCGGTAGTCACACCTCGGCGGAAACTGGATAATGGAAATGCACATGTTTTCTCGCCTCACCTGAGAAGCGGACAGAGCCGCTCTGCTTTTAAGGGCTTTTAAAAATGTGCCTCGCCTTTTTCCACTCCGAGCTTTTCTATGTAAGCTGAGACATTGTCTTACATGGAGGCTAGTAACAGGCAGGGTTAGCGTTCAAAATGATTGTTTTCTGTTGGCTTGCCCCTTGAGGGTAGAAGAGGACGGAACCACTAGTTGTAGAATTGGATTAGCAAAATATCGGCTCACTACAGTATGCACTTCGTTTTTTACTCCGAAAAATGTCAGAAAAAAGGTCAAATCTCTTTGTAAGTATGTTGGATTGAGCGACTAAAGTGGAGAAAACGAACTCAGAGACCTTTGTAAAAGAAATGATGACATGATAAAAATAAAATCTGGTTTTGCTTTTCAGCAACAGAATCTTTCATATTTCAAAAAGATTACAGTGAGATTAAGTTTGTCATTTTTTGCAGTGAAACCTCAATACGCGATGTGAATCGAACGTTTCTTGAATCAGTCGACTCTAAGCGTATTATCCGAATCCATTCGCTACATCCTGGTCACACGTACAGGTTTGTCATTCAAGTATGATTTCCGTTTGTTATATCCAGTGCTCGTTTTTTTCCTTTCCAACAAAATTTCTATCCATTGAGTGTAATCGGCTTTAAATTTCGAAGTATTCCTCAAAAAATCAGTTAAGCTCTTCACACGCGGAATTAGGCAAAGATGACTTCTTAATTTTTGGATTGTATATTTCGGTGGTAACCTATTCTGTGACTAACTTTATGGTAATGTTAATACTACAACCTATTCGCCAAAGATCTCCCCTCAAAAACTTTTTTTTTTATTTTTTGTCGGCCACTTGATCGGGCTACCTATGTTAAGTAGAGTCCAGTTTTCTGTTTCGTATGTTTTTTATATAATGCCAGGATGTTTTTCTTTATCAAGATCTTAGTCGTCACCCCTTGTAAAGCCTGGGTTCTGTTATTCTGGAGCAAACTTTCTAGAGTGTTGTAGATTTGTTCACCACTCAGAAGTACTGGGCCTGTTTAGCAATTAATAATTTTTCAAATAAATTGCTAATTTGCATCTTTGTAATAGCTCTACCAGTAGAAGGATGGGAGGAGGAAAAGGTGGGGGTGAGGGTGGGGGTGGTGGTCTCGATCTCTGCAATTTCGCAACTGATAATAGCCATCTGTGAGCGATTGAGCCCGAAGGGGACAAAACAAGCAGAGAAAAAAATTTTTTTGTGGCAATATATCAAGCCACTAGTACGTATTATGTGAATTATTATGTGTCTACAAATTCTTTGCATGAGTGATATACGTTGTAATTTTCTTCTCAATCTTGCCTATCTCGTTTCCCATCTCAGTTCTTCTGTAATGTGATGACTCTTGATGCTCTCAATTTATGCTTTAGTGTCTCCGTAATCGGTCGACGAGAAGAAAACTCGTCCTTGATTGAGGCAACCGAGATCACAATGGATCCACGCACTCCACAATTTAACACACAGGACATAGAAATCTCAATGAATAACATCACCCTGAAGGCGCAAAAATTGGAGAAGAATGTGCAGGTATGAAATGAACTACAACAGGCAGCAAGACATAGCTAAATTGCACGGATTAGGATTCGTTCTTGGTGGAGTATCGTCAACTTGATCCTGAGCAACGGTATCCCGTGCTGGAAGTGCTTGACATACCAGAGCAAAAGGATCTGGAAGTCTACCTAGGTAAGAGCCAGCTTGACGAAATGAATGCCCAGACCACTTTAGATTATGTTTGCCTAGGTAACCTCAACCCCGGACGCGATTACCACGTGCAAGTGACTGCCACAAGGTCTGGGCTCAAAAGCCGGCCATGGACAACAACTCTGGCAACAAGTGAGTAGCTTCACCATACTGCTCAAGCTTTTCTAAATGTTTGATATAGAAGAGAATTTGAATTATCAGCACTTATCTTGGCCGTATAATATGCGCTCGAGTACAAGTGGTCATACGGTAAGGGGTATGCATGATTCGTCATTTTGGGACCTTTGGAGTACTGTAAGCGCTGTGAGTACAGAATTCCACGAAGCCAAGCTTTCATAAGGCTATAAATTCAAAATGCTGGGATAATTAGGATAACAGACTGAAAACTATTGTATGTCTCCTTTGAAGATCAATTCATAGCAGTCTTTTATTAAGTCGTGCTGTTTTTTTTAATCAATCAAGCCTGCTTTGAATTCATTCGTGACTTTCAAGACTCATTTAATTTTTGCTTGGCGTTTTGTGGGAATTCACTAGTATTTGTCACTTTATTTGTAGTTTACTGATAAGGACGCAAATGATTCTTTTATTTCGGATAGCTGCTTCCAGATATGCATTTGATGTTCATACATTCTTCATTGTAGGGAGGAATTATTTGTTATGACAGTGAAACAAACCCAATAGTCGAAAAGTGAAGAGCTCGTCAGGAATGCTTATGAAAATATCCACACTTATCAGCCGCGGTCCGAAAACATTTCGATTTTTTTGACTAAGGGGGCGCGCCATTATTCTCGCTCTTATATGTCCTCTTTTCAAATTTTTTTAGGCATATAACCCAAAAACATGGTAACCAAGCCTCCGAAATGAATTGGTCTACAAAGCTGTCGAATTTCAAGATCTTTTAAAAGAAGTTTTTAACCCATGGCTACTTTCGGTAATTTCGAACCCTCCCCCCCTCCTGATGGTCTGCCACTGACACTTACCCATAAATCGATCCGCTCTGACTAATCGAATTGATGTTTTGATCTCGGATTTTTTAGGGGTGTTTTGATATAGTAATCAGTTTGACTTGATCTAGTGAAGAAGTCGCTTGCAATTTAATTAGCTGCAATTATGTGTAGATGTTTTTGTGCCTGTAGATAAAATAGCGAAAGAACTCGATAAAAATCAGTCACTTGGAAGGGAGAAGAGGTAAGGTGCGGGGGGGGGGGGGGGAGGGAAGGGTGTGCTATCGCACATATCCAATCACGAATCTTGGTCATAAATCCAAGCTCAGCAAAAAAATCCCAAATGCTTTCTCGGTTGATCTTGGAACATTTTCACACATGAACACTGTCTCTATGTAGAAGTAGTGTGTCGTGCGACGGTCAGTTCCAGATCGTTGAATCAGCGCCAATCCATCTCTGCGCCACATTTTTCTGACACTTTCTGATGGGATCGTAAACCAGCTTTGTACGAGGAGGGTTTTTGCTCCCGCTCGGCAAGACCGCGTGCGCGGTTTGGAACGCTTCGTGTCATACGCGGTCAAACTGTCGTGTTTCAATGCGTCCGGAGTTAAAATTGGCAGATAGAACAACGTTTTTGCGTTCCGAATCAAACCAGACATGGGATTACGAGCTCTTGACGAATATGGAACGGTTTTTTTCCACTGGCAAGAAAATGGATGCTCTGGTACTTTCCAGAAACCTAATCGCTATGAAATATGAGCAGTGCAAATGAAAATTCATCCTTATTAACTGCCTTACTTGGCCAACCTACGCAAAAGTACGTAAGTGAAGTGAGAAAAGTATCAAAATGTACGGGTGCTAAAATCACCACGGTTTTATTCAGCATAAATCTGAAAATGTGAATCTCAAGAATCTCCCAGCTTTCGACTGACAAATATCAGGTTGGCCAAAGCGCAGTCTTAATTATTAGGTTGAACACTAAGTTTTGCAACTTTTCTCATAACTTCCCTCTCACTCAACATGGTGCACTCAAATTTTGCCACTGTGTTGGTTATTATGTATACTACAAGCGCAGCTGCTGTCCTACCAAATTCTGACGTCGCAGTGAGGGTTACGGTAGGTGTATGGTATGAAGGGGAAAAATTCAAAGTTTGACGGATTTGGCTGAAACTTGGCATAGGGATGTTATCCGACATGCTGATCACGAAAGCGATAGTGAAATTGCGTGATAAGGGCTTTTTTGTAGGATTACTGTAGGTGTACGATATGGGGTCTCACTTTAAACAAGGAAAAAGGCGTTGATTCAACAAATGAATATGATATTCGCATTCGGCAGGTCAAATAACCTTACTATGTGAAGTCTCGGCGGAATTTGAGCTTCGGACTCTTTAGTCATTGACGGTCGTCCCCAGCAGCTCTTGCGTACATCGACTCGTTCGAATTTATGAGGACGCCAAATCTCGACATGCCCATAAATTTTGTTTCTTTCTTGCTAGACCAAAGGAGTGAACCTCTTGCAATAATTTGCAGACGAATCCGGATTACTGCGCATGGTCTAGGCTGCCAAAGGCTTCATTTTAGCTTGAAACCTCAAAAATTCTCAAATTTTACTAGTTTTCGAAAAATGCCTGAAACTTTTATATTTCGTGTTCAAAATTCAGACAGTTTGTGCTCACTTGTAGCTCACATTGCATTCTACATGATGCCAAAGTTTGAGTGCGCCATGTTGAATGAGAGTGAAGTTATGAAACAAGTTGCAAAACTTAGTGTTCAACCTAATATTTTTGACGTACTGCCAAAAATATTTTCGCAACATCTTGCATACAAATTTCTTCATAGGTATTTATCTGTCATAAAGTGTTATTTGAGAAGAATCAAATGGTCACTTTATTTCATCATATTCATGAAAAGTCTTTGTATTGATCGTTTAAAGAAAGCTTAAACAGTTGATTGGCCCATAAGCGTGCCCCAAGATTTCGCTCGCAATTGTAGCCTTTGTCTGAAATTTTTACGGTCCAAGTTATGCGAATCTAGCAACTTCAAAGGTTTCCTTAGCAGGGAACGATGCTTGGTGACCCCGGCCATTCATGATGGTTTGTATATCAATAAATGCGCCTTTCAATGCTGGTTCGAATACTGTTTCCCATATCTGCGAAACGAGAACCTAGATTGAGTTACAATTATTTTTTCAAGAATGATTTGCCCTACTGCGGAGGGCGAAAATCATTAATAAAAATTTTGCTTTTCTCCTCAAATGCTGCATATGATTTAGATAGGTATAAATACAACGTAAGCCTTTCAAGATTCTCCTTAAAAGCTTCAAACGGTAAATTAGACCAAATTGAGTGATTTTAACTACCTAAAAGTACGCAAATTTTTTTATGAAAAATTGTTCATAACTGCATTTACTTGACCGTTTTGCAGATTTTGAGCACAGATTTAGAATCAGCGTTTCGAGGTGTACCTTATGGTATACATCGCATACCAAATAGCCGGGATCACAACCTTTCCTTGTTAGACTATGATATTTTTTATCTACTTTTTTTGAGATTAGTGTTGTATGTTCTAGGGGCGATAAATGTCTCGCATACATTTCGTTCACTCCGAGGCAACTGGCAATTTCTTATATTCTTTTTTACCAAATGTTCATTCAAAATAGCTTCAAACAAGCATAATCAAGCAGTCGATACAACATTGTAAAAAATTCAAAACGTATAAATTGGCATCTGGACATCTAGGCACTAAAGCTATATGGCTCCCGTAACGATAATGGGCTTAAGACCACGCAAAGTAATATATTAGGTTGAACCGAAAGTTCTGTCCCTCCATTTTCAAAAATTCGTAACTTCGCCAGATTTCAACGGATTTGCTTGCTCGTAATTTTATTAGAAAGAATAGATCTTCCGCTTTCAAGCCCTGTTTTGCGGAGCTTCTGTTTCACACTGAGTGCCGAGATAAAAATGGAAAACTAAGACCATGTAAACTTTGACCATTTTGAGTTAGGTCACCAAAAATCTGGAATGCTGCAGAAAAATCTGAAATCGTCAGTACATATGTTTTTTGGCCTACCCTTTGCACCTGTGAAAAGTTTGTGTTGTTTGGACATCTCTGTGAGAAGTTATGAATATCGAGTTTACTATGGATAACGCCAAAATTAATTAATTTGGCAATTTTCGTGAAAATCATAACTTCTCGCAGAAACGTCCAAACAGCGCAAACTTTTCACAATTGCAAAGAGTAGGCCAAAAAACATATGTACTGACGATTTCAGATTTTTCTGCAGCATTCCAGATTTTTGGTGACCTAACTTAAAATGGTCAAACTTTACATGGTCTTAGTTTTCCATTTTTATCTCGGCACTCAGTGCGAAGCGGAAGCTACATAAAACAGCGCTTGAAAGCGGAAGATCTATTCTTTCTAATAAAATTACGAGCAAGCAAATCCGTTGAAATCTGGCGAAGTTACGAATTTTTGAAAATGGAGGGACAGAACTTTCGGTTCAACCTAATATATGTAACCAATACAAACACAGTCAAAGAGGTTTATGCTTTTGAGAAACTTGAGAAGGATTTTGAAGTGATCACTGAATTTTTCGCCCCAAAGAAGGTGGAGCTTCAAATTTAGCATAACTTTTTAGGTCCACCCGTGAAAAATAATCGCATTTGAAGAAAAAGGGTCCTTCTATCAATGGTGTGACGGTATTCCAATGATAGTTTAAAGCACGCTTTTTAATGCATTTTTGTTATATATCTGTCGTGCAATGCCACCAGCAAAATAAGCTTACTTTATATCTTTAGTGCCAAGCCCAGTATCATCCATGACGGTGTCTGAAAACGGTACCTCTTGCCTGACTGTGGAATGGAGTATGTCATCAAACAGTGGAGCAGATTCGTTTATACTTCGCTACTCTCAGCTACATTCGGACTTCATCAACAGCGTATGGTTTTAAGCTTGCGAAGTTCGGAGTTTCAAAATTGTTTCGGTAATTTGTAGGTGACATTGCAACAAAAGGACCGATCGATCCATCTTTGCGACGGCATTTCACCCGGGGTCGTCTATAAAATATCAGTGGCAGTGAAGAAACGGAACAGCGTGTCTGAAGAGAAGACAGTGATTTACACTGTGCGACCTTTGGCTCCAGCTGATTTTAAGGTGTGCAAATTTATACATAACCATTTCAAAACGGTAGTTTTTTGCTTAGATATCTCCTGACATCACTAAGGGAAAGTATCGGCTGATAGCCGAGCTGCTACCACAATCACAATACGATGGGTGTCATGTAGCAGTGGTCAGCGAAACGCTGGAAAAGATTGAAGCCGAAGGAGATCTGAGTGGAGCAAAGGGCAATCAAAGGTAGGCACATCCTCTTTTTGGATGCTATGTAGTTGAGGGCTTTATCCGATATTCACAGTAGCATCACTGACAAAAATTCAATTTTCGTTTTCAAAGGCTCTTTTCTGCTTGTTGTATTAGACAGGGCTCGGCATAGTTGGCTTGTAGGCAAGCTGGATATCGTTTTTTGGACAAAAAGCAAAAGGGTTTCATTTTTGAGACCGAAAAGACACAAAAATTGCGACGTTTTTTTTAGTCGACGTTTCGTTTTTTGGGAATCTTTTAGGTGGTTTAGGGTCAGAGGGGACTTCGTAAAAATTTGCAGAAGTCAAGGGGGACGTCGTTTTTTTTTGCATTTTCAACTAGCCACCTCGTGCCGAGCCCTGGTATTAGAAAGGTCTTGTATTCTATTAAAATTGCTCTTGAAATAGTTTAAAAGAGAGAAAACATTTGCTTACTTTTTCGATTACGTGCAGTATATGTTTATGAAATCATGTTAGTTATAGATCTAAAATAAAATAAAATTGAAATATCTGGAATATTAATTCGCGGTTTAATCGGCGCGAATTTTTAGTAGAAAAGCGTAGATGTTTGAATATGTCTGCAAAAAGTCGAAAAGTTTTGTTTTGACATAATTGCTGCTAGGCCTTTGTGCTTTGTACTGATAAGTTGCACTGAAAACGAAACCCGAGCTCTGGACGGTTTTTTTCCACAAGATTTCTTTTCATTTTTTACGTCGAAAGTAATTGTCTATTGCTTTTCATGATTTCCTAACCGATATTATGGTGCTCCTCTGAGCGTGTTTAGATAAATAAGTTAATGATTGCTGTCGACTATACCGGGAAGATTACGCTGCAAGTTTCTGTGCAAGATATTCCGGACTACTCAATAATGCCTCATTTCTGTTTTTTCTTCTCTTCTTCTCATCAAAGCATTGTTATTACGAGATGAAATTCAGGTTGAACTGATTTTCTCACCTTTAGCTGCCATGCTCTGTTATCACTTGTTCCTGGTGAACGCTTCGAGTTCACGCTCTCAACCCACTCGAACAATGTCACCAGTCCTCGGCTTCATCGCAGCGTTGTGCTTCCTCCAGCTTTCAATATGACTGGCTTTGGTCTCAACTTGCAGGTTGGTGCTATGGTCAAGATTCAAATCGCTTGAATAACAGTAAGTATCTTTTTTATAGGAAACAAAGACAGGCCTGGAGCTTCTGTGGCCACAGAGTGATGTTTTCATGTCGAGGATGAAGGACATCTGGAACAAAGTGTGTAGAAAATTCATGTGCTGCTTCTACTGCGTGTTCTATCTCTATCAAAACCACTTTCAGGTTGTGGGTCTCGAATCGAAACTGCAGATGCGCCTCTTTCCTGCCAATGCCACCGGTAGCGAACAGCGTCTTTCCAGTGACCCACTCCATCCGACACCACTTGTCATCGGGTCATTGACAAAGGGATCTTGCTATAAGGTACATCATTTTGTATTTTGATTCTAAATTCTGTAACTTTTATACAAAATTCATTGTCAGATTCAAATATTCTGACCATATTCGCAAGCTAAATTATTTTTGCTTTGAACCATTTCATAAATCGTTGTGGCTACTGCTATATTCCAACGAGAAGATCGTGTATTTACATAGAATAATAAACCTAATTATTGCAACCTTTTAAGATATGAACTCTTTTTGATTCAAAAACTAACTAAGACCTTTCAATTTATTAGACTGGGAAGAAAAGAACGTCGTTCTTCAAGACAAAGCAATAAGGTCAATCCAAAAAAAATCTGTGAGGATTAGCAATTGATCTGCACAAAGTTTGGAGACAAAACATATGAACAATTTCATGATGCCAAAAGTCACTTGCTATATTTTTTTGTTGCTTAAAAATCAAGGAAAAATTGGAAAAACGGATATGACAAGCTCTGCCTCCAGTAATCCTGAGCTTCTCCCGTATATGCCATTGTATGCTACAAACCTACCAAACTGTCACCACCATTCTCTGGCCATATGCCCTAATTTATGGAAAATATTAATTTTAGCTGTAAAACTCCGAAAAAGCGACATTCTTTTTTTTCCATAAGGTTTTGTTGCTCGAACATCCCGCTAGATTACTAGTGGTAGTTAGGGGCCGTTTCGACACGACAACTTTTTTAAATTTTATATTTCTAATTATAAAAATCTGGAACAAAAGTACTCTAAGTTCATATACTTAAATCCATACAGCAACGGCTAAGTTTTGAGTTCAAATCAATTATTTTATGTTTATGTTCTGCTCTGAGATCTGAGATGTTGCAAGAACATTTTCAGATCCAAATCTTCACTGTCACCAAGTCCGGCATCGTATCAGAGACGCGTTTTAATGAGTACTTTCGCCTTTCCGCTCCTCCAGTCAACGTTTCCATCAACGCCATCACCCGAACTTCGGCAGCTATTCAAGCCGTGCTCGTAGCTGCCGTGAGTCAATAAACCCATATTCCGAGCCTTTTCCAGGCAATTAAACAAATTTTAGGATGAAGCCGATCGTGAATGCTTTCTCAACATAGTGGTGCTGGATATGCATGCGCATGTGGTTTTGGATAAGACCTCTCGTCCCCAAAATGCTGGCTTCCCGTCGATGGAGCTGAATGGACTGCGACCTTATCACAAGTATACGGTAAACAGCAAGGTAGGCGACGATCAAAGAAAATTGCGCATAAAATGTCATAAAATATCGAAATTTCTGGAAATTCCAAGCTTATCGAGATGAGTTCTTCTTAAAAAAAAGGGGGCATGTTCTTGCGCCACTCTTGAATAGTTTTTTTCGTATCGTTGGGAAAACTTTAAATTAGTTCAGAAATCTTTCCCAGATCGGTCACCTTTTTATCCCAAATGAGATATTTCAGATGACTTGTGCATCTGGACCTAGCGATTGTGCCCCTGCATCGCGCTCTATGCGACAGCTAACATTTTCGACAATGCAGGACCGACCGGGACCAGTTCTCTCCCTTTCGGGTACTAAGAAGCAGTGAACGTTCTCAAGTTTATACTTATCCATTCAGCTCGGCCACTGAATCCATATTCTGCGAAGTTGAGCTGGCTACCACCAGCATTGCCAAATGGAATCCTGACCCACTACATTGTCGACATAACCTCTGAGGTTGTCCAAAACAAATTTTCTCACTAAACAAAGTCGAAGATTCCAAATTAGGATGAAGCTGAAGCACCGCGATCGCTGAATGTGGGTGTAGGAACCGATAGGGCAGATCACTTTCTGGAGACCGTTGTTGATGGACTGTATGGAGGAGAACGGTAAGAGTTCACATTTTATTAAAAGTCGTAAATGGGGTATTATTTTCTACAAAAAAATTGGACAAATTTTCCATCGAAGGGTTGACTTATCTCAAATCAATCAATCACTAGTTGCAGCCAAATATGCTTTGGTTTAGCAGCTCAACAAGGTCTTCCTTCTTGCTATGTGATATCCCCCGCACTCCCCCCTTCCCCTCCCTATGAGCAAAATCACTCGATTTGTAAATGACCTTGAATTTTTTTAGCTACAAATTCGTCGTCCGAGCTGCAACAGAAGCTGGTGCCGGTGATTTGCCATCAACACCAGTAGAGCCGGTGAAAATGCCTATCATGGGTGAGATTTTGCATCGTTTTTTACAATTTAGGGTACTTTTGATTGGGAATGCTGTACATACCACCAAAATAAACAGCTCGATAGAAAACGAATCACAGCTTCAAAAAAGCAATTACTGCAATTTGGGGCAAAAAAAATTGTTGAGTAAAGCGCTATAGTTTGATTTTTCGTTATAGTAATAATGCCATGATTATGCATTAGAGCATCATTTCATTAATCTGTGTCCATTGAACTATATACTGTCTAACACAATAGTCTTTTGACAAATTTAGGAAACAAAGTTTATGGTGGAATAATTTTGACTAAACAATATTCTGAAAACTTGAAATTTCAACTGACAATGAGCTTTGCGTATACGGGTATTCAATGCTGTTTATAATCAGTTTTTTGGTAAGCCTTTTTGCTGAGGGAACAATAAGTATACGGTTAGGAGTCGAAGTCTGGTATATACATAGGTTGAACATCGTAGAGGACAAATGATTTTGCTGTGCAATGTTTCAACAAAATTCGGCATCTGGTCTCTTCCATGTGAAACAATGTTTTGAGGATTTTAGTATTTGCAAACTGTCTAAACTAGGCATAATTTTTTTCTACATGGCTATTCGGAATAGCTATAGAATTTTCAAAGCTACCTGAATCACTTACAAAAACTTTCATAATTTAGATGCTTTTATGTCCTATCCAGCCTAATTTCAAGTCCTCTACAGAGGATCGGCACGAGGTGACTAGTTGAATATGCAAAAAACGAAGTCCCCCCTTGACTTTTGCGGATTACGAAGTCCCCTTTGGCTTTAGACCATAATCCCTAAAAAATCTCCAAAAAACGAAACGTTGACCAAAAAACGTCGCAAATTTTGTGTCTTTTCGGCCACAAAAACGAAACCTCCTTTGCTTTTCGTCCCAAAAACATACCCAGCTTGCTTTAAGCCGTCTGCGCCGAGTTCTGGTCCTCTGCTTCATACCTACCGTAACCTCGCAAGAGAAGTTTTGTGGGGCGAATTATAATTTTGAGCTGTTTCAGAAAAACAGCGTACAAAGTTTAGTACATAAACCCTGCAGCGTGTTAGCAAGCTGTCGTCGATAAAATAACAGTTTCACTTCGCCCATTGATAAAATAGGCATGACCCTTCCTAAAAACTTCTTCTTGCAAAGTTTCAAGCATGGGAAGGCCAGCAAATTTTGGCTATTGATTTAGTATCTTCGTCGCTTTCGTGTCAACTCGTCCCAGGAACTTAATATTTAAAGCTTATCAAACTTTATCCTTGTTTACTTTTTAGTACTTGTTTTGTCTTTTGCCCTTCAAACACATTTCTTTTCCCTCCGACTATAAAAAACTTGACCGATAGAAATGCGAAATGATGCTATTCTAACCATTGTTGACGAAAGCGCTAACAAAAGTGTGCTTTTGATGATTCTTAATTCTTAAGCTTGACTGACTTCCTTTGTCAACACATTCAACGTCTAACGAATTCGGAACAATGATTGTACTATACTTCAAAGGAAGGCTTACTCATTGCATTATTCTTATTGTTCGTCTGGAACATTCGAAACGAAAAGCGAGAAAGCAACATTTGAACCTTGAAAATTATTGCTAGTTAAGTCCGGGTGACTACAATACCTAAGAGATTTTGAAAGTAGAGTGTGTGAAGGAAATGAAGTTAGTAGCTACTAGATTGGCTCGAAAGTTCTCGGACATTCCCAGACGAAATCTTCTATTTCTCGAAATCTAATGCATGTACATGCTATAGAGTTACCATTCGATAGAGCAAAGCAAGCTCTACAAGATGGTATGCAAAAGTTCGCACCAGCTTTGATCCACTGTAAGTTTGCACCCAGAATCTGAGTCATTTGAAGGCTCAAAAAACTGGGAAAATTATCTTATTATCATATCTTCGTTCAAATAAATTCTACGGATTTCCAAATTGTTCAAGCAAATTGCACACCACATCAGACACTCATATGTACCGCTGCTGTATTTCTTCCTCATTTGGTAATCGAAAAAATGGAAATTTTTTTACACAAAAAACGAAGCTATCGTTTTCACTCATGCAACTGTATAGTACAAGCCCTTAGAAGTATAATCGTAAATTTTCATCTTTCTACAGGCCTTAGTCTCCGAAAATAACCGAATTCAGCTCTCCTCACTCGGGTGTTCCATGCTAAAATCAATATTTCAGTTATCGAAGTGGCAAGTCGCATAGCGATCAATTCGCTTAAATCAAAATTTGTGTTCAAGCACCTGCCGCTGAGGCACTTAATCCTAAAGTTTGCGCAGGAAGTTGAGAATAAAAATTTGATGCGATCGTACTGTTCACTGCTGGATGTTGAGCGAATTTACTTTTCCAAGTCTACAGAGAAAAGTCTCGTGTCCCACAAGAGACTTTTCTCTGTAGACTTGGCAAGTTCCGCCCCGTTTCACTTCTCATCCTAGTATTAGGTTGGCCCAAAAGTTCGTTCGCACCATTTTCAAAAATTCATAACTCTTTAAATTCTTGACGAATTTGTACGAACAAAATTTTGCTTAGGAGAGGAACTCATGCTCTTTGCATATGTTCCTGAACTGTTCGTTAGTGTATACAAATGAAGAAGATAGAAGCTCAAAACCAAAATCACTCAAAATTTGAATGTTTCGTGTAGGGTCATAAAAAATCGGAAACTTGCAACAAAAATCGGAGCAGTCGATATTATAGGTTCTTTCACTAGCTCTTTCTAAAGTGTAAAGTTTGCGCCGATTGAGTGTCTCTATGAAAAGTTACGATTTTCGAGCAAGCAACACAAAAGGGCGCATTTGATTTATTTTGGCATTTTTCAGGGAATTCATAACATTTCACAGAGACGCTCAATCGGCGCAAACTTTGCACTGTTAGAAAGAGCTGGTGAAAGAACCCACAATACCGACTGCTCCGATTTCTGTTGCAAGTTTCCGGTTTTTTATGACCATACAAGAAAATTCGAATTTTGACTAATTTTCTTCTATCGCTCCTATCTATGCAAAAGATGACCATCAATAAGCAGCTAAGATGTCTTTGTAGAGGGCATGACTTACTATTTCATACAAAAATAAAAGCAGTCAAATTTATTGGAAAAATCAGAAGTTATGAATTTTTGAAAATGGTGCGAACGAACTTTCGGGCCAACTAAGTAATACCCACTTTTCTCGATTCTTAGAAATTCCTGCCATATCATTCATCGAGCAAAGTGCTCCACAAGGTGATATCCAAACATTGGTGCATACAAAGCTAGTTTCACCTATAGTTTGGATTCTAAAAAATTTATCGATAATTTAGGACTCTGCTTAGAAAATTTTTAAGAGTCTCAACTTGTTCACGAATATACAACCCTCATTTGACATTCATACATGTAGTTGCTATATCCTTTCCATGGCTAAAACTTGAAAAAAGCAATGCTGTTTCCACTTACTTATTCTACAGCATAAGCCTTCAAAAGTATAACCGCAAATTTTTTGCCTTTAGCTATAGTTTCCGAGGAATGTTAGATCTAGCGCGAAAAATCCTAAAATGGTGACATTTTTGTATTTTTGGCACATTATCGTTTCTCACTTTCTAGTCGCGGAAAAAATACAGCAGCTGTGCATTTAAACTTCATATCAATAGGTACAAAGTAAGAGTGAACAAGTTTGAGGCACTTTGAAATTCATGAAGGAAAGCTATGAATTATTTTTTGAGTTTTCAGGTTTTTGAAAGTTTTTAGATTTTTATTCTAAACTAATTGTAGAGCGACTTTGTGCGACTTTTGGGCACCCTTTGTAGTGCTTGCTTTCGTCTATCGATGATGTTCCGGAATTTTTCCCTAAGTCAGGATAGGGGGGGGGGGTTATTGGCGTGAGAAGTAAAAAAGGACAGAACCTATCCTGGAGAACCTGATATTCTTCATGACTTCGGTGTTCCTTTTCAACTTCCTCTTCTCCGAAGCCACTTTTTACTTTGAACTAGCTAATAGCCAGTTTCTTTTCCCAAGCAGCTTCTGTAAGAAGCTATTAGAAATGCCAAGTGAATGGCATCATTCCGTCTTTTTGAGTGCTTGAAAGTGCACTTATCAAGAATCTGTCATTCATCAAATAATTCTTAGGGTCGTGAAAGTGTTGTTCTTCAAGACAAAAGGTTCATGAATAACGATGGCAAAAATGTCAGACTTCCTTGTTTTGTTCTACTTGCGCAACATTTTTCATTAACAAATGTCATCATCAAGAAAGGTCTTACGATTGTTCCAATTGACATTTTTTTCTATAAGTCTTTCAAGAACAACATGAAAAAAAGAGGATGTGAAGCTTAAGGGGTTAAATGAGTATGTTATCATCATTCAAAGATGTTTTTCATGTTTTTTAAAAGTTGAGCAAGGAAGTAAAATTACGTACCAAGAACTCTCTTAAATTCTTAGGAGAGGGAGAAGACTTCAGTGCCCGGGTACTGTGTTCAAAATAATATGGTATAGCTCACTACCCTCGGGGAGGGTCATTACTTGTAGATATTTCTTCACTGTTATGTTAGCAACTCAGTAAAGTGGAATTTCTTCCAGCACCACCTCAAACAAATTTGGTTCCCACAATCGCAGCAGAGTCAATCACCAGTCATTCTGTGACGATCAAGTACTCGGCAGCGATGTTCGATGCAAAGCATGGAAAAATCATCAAGTAAGCAGCACTTGCTTTATAAATTTCTTTTGTCCAATGTCTCCTTCAGATGCGCTCTACTCGTGGCTGAGGTCACTGATGACGGACGGATTACCGAGACCTGGATGAATTCGGAGAATGTCACCTACGTAAGTTTCAGGAAAATTTTGATTGGAAGTACCCCAACATCAGCGAATGTTCCAGACATGGATGCAAGTTCAACGATTCGATGTTTGGCCCCTGTACACCGCAGTAGTTGACGAATCTACTCCTAACCCATCTTCTAGCGGAGTTCTAGCTCAGGTAATGCTTCTCTTTGGAGACGGCCGTTATACACTACAGTATCCGATGGCCACCTTGCGTGACGTGTCTGAACTCAAAAGTTGCCGCACGCTGTACCGCGCGCGACTATGGTTGTATGGAAATGCTTCGAAGGCATTGCTCAAGCAAGTCCAACCTCCTCTGATTGGTACCGACCCTGAATGTAAGGCCCAGGAGAAGGGCGTCTGCGTTGGTGTGGCCCTCCAGTGTTTCTTTGAATGGAGATAGTGGACCTGGAACTCACAAAAGGCTGTGAAGCCCACCCTAACAGCCCCGCCCACTCAAGCACTGAAATTGGTCTGTGCCTACATGATAGGGCTCTCAGAAATCCAGGTTTTTTTTTGGGGGGGGGGGGGTGTTGCACATTTTGCACTTCATATCTGTGATCAATGGCACGAAAAGGGCTCAGAATGAGAAGAACATAGAAGGCAAAATTTTGGGTGGATGCTGACTTTAACAGCGTTACGGCCCTGCAAGTTGCCCTACGCCCCTTTTCCCTACTCAGACTTCTTCCTGCTTAGGACTCTCCGCATTCAAAACCTCATAACAATCGTGAATGCTGAAAACCCCATTCACGTCATCCAGCGATCAACGTGAGACACAAAGACCCCGTTTCGCAAATATTTACATCCCGGAGGCCGCGTTGAGGTAGCGGTTAGCTCAAATCAAGCTGCGGATTAGTCGATTGAATCACGCATTACATACAGTATTCTTATCAGATGTTCTTGTTTCATCAAAGTGAGAATTCAGGGGTAAAGGTAGGTCATAGAGATCGAGTCCAAGCAAACAGGCTTTCGCTATCATCTCGTGAACTTTGGCATGTTTCCAGCTTTCTTTTCCGATGATTGATCCTGTGTTGTTGTTTCGATATCGAGTGCATTCGCACAATTGCGCAGCAGGTGGTGTCGAGGGTACATGTACCGGCGTCATAGATTTGTATCTTGTGATGTTTTCGTACAAAAAAGAAACCGATGAGTCACCCTGCATTTCGTTCCTTGCATGTATTTCAAACTAGAAAAGAATTTTAGAGCTAGTGCTATCGCTATTTTTCCATTCTAAACAACCTCAAGCAAAAAACCATAGTAGTTCTAATACGATAAGCGGTACTAGATGCGTGATAGAGTTTAGTTACATCAGTCTTGTAACCAAAACGATAATTGTTGTCCGCAGGCGGGGAAGGGGGGGGGGTGAGGAGCTTCTTTGTGCACAGTTCTCTCTCTGACCTGTTGACTCAGCTGTCATCTATTTATGACTAAGAGACGTGAGACCGCATTGCGGACATTGTTTTAGCAAGTACGAGTTTTTTCCGTGTTTTCAAAAAGGAGTAAACCTGGACGAGATATATAACAAGTATAAACCTGCGAAGCACATGATTGGGCCTATTTAAACAAAGTGTGCAATGCGGTTCCGCGTCTCTCCTAGTCATAGAATGAATGATACATATCTTACTTTGCGCGTAACCCGACACCATCATAGCTTTCAAGATTCAGAATTGTAAAGGGTAATCTATAGATTGAGGAGGACTGACTCTTCCTGCGCCTTGTTTATAGGTACAGTACTACTTGTAATCTACAAAAGAAAGTTCAAAAAATATCTGGTATTCTCGTCGCATTGCTCTATCGTCTTTAAGAGTGAAAGGTTTGTGCTCACAAAGGAAGCATATTTAAGAGCTGGCCTTATTAGATGTGATGTCTACGATATGGAAGAGCATAAAACGCTGATTCTAAATCTGCCTTCTTTATCTGCAGAATATTTGTGGACGAGGTTATGAGCGTTTATTGGAGCCAACAACTGAATGTGCATTTAGGATAAAATAAAATGTTAGAATCTTATCAGCCCTCAAATGAAGCAACCAAGCGTGATCAATTTTTTTTGTCTTAGAGTATCCATTGAATAAAGTGCTCTGATAGCTATCATTGCTTTAGTAAAGCGCTAGAAAAGATATTACGAATATTTTTGTGCTACTTGCACATTCCATTTCCTGCTTCGGTAAGCCATGAATTTTTTTTCCTCGATATGAATCTTTCTTCCCTCTAGAATCTTACTGGAAAACTTTCTCAAATTTGTCAAAATTGCCTTCGAGGGCGAAAGTGCCTGTTAAAAAGAAAAATAAGTTGGTTGCATAATTTCATAACTCAAAACCATTTACAAAATTTAAGCGACTTATATTGCGAAGGCGAAGGTTCCGAAAGGACTTAAGTTTAGTAATATATTTTCTGAACTCTGGAACATGCATTTTTGAGTAACCACGTAGCAGATCAGTCGGTTCTTTCTCAATAGATGATATTAGTGCAGTATATCAAGCTTCGCTGCGACTAATTCTCGTGGAGCTATTCGCGTTTTTTTTCTTTTGGCAGTAGTTTATGCTCGTGACCAAAATGGGATTAGTGTCACAGCAATGAAGAACACCGATCGAGCGTCAACACCTCTGATGCATTTTCGACTAGCCAGGACAATAAAACAAATTTCCAGTAATTGTCAAGGGTGACCTTGATGCATTCGCGTGTCGACCCTTGCACAGCGATTCATTCAGGTTGCGTTGATTTTATTGCAAGAAATTGGGGACGCAGGTTATATAGTAGAAGTAATGCAATGTTTTGGTGACCTCGCTCGTAATGACATATTTCCTGCCCAAAAGAAGTTCGAGGCAATAAATTTTCAAAGGTCGGTCTGAAACTGTGGAGACGAATACGCTTTGATTTAGGACAACTCATAAAAGCAGATTTGGCTGGAGCGAGAAGGAAAAAAGTTGAATGCATAATAAATATGCGCAGTCCTAATTCATTGTTGAGAGTGAAATATATATAAAAAAGTATGAGAGCTTGTGGCTCATACTTTATCGTTGTCTCCCCATCACCTCGTCCACTTTTACAGTAGTAATTTTTGAAGACCCTGATTTACCTCTGTGGGTATGTTCATTGCACAAAATATGAATAGAGCTTGTACGAGGGCATAATGGGTTGCGTCAGGATGAGAAGGAAAGGAGCAGAGTTACATTCAAATTTGCTTCAAAGTGGCCCCCTCATCATTTAATCCATGCTTCATCCTAGGACTTCTTCAAGACTAGAACAAGAATTAGGGGGCTCTTTGATGCAAGCATATGGTTGAAGGGTATTCTCCTTCATATGATTCTATTGAATACCAAAATGCTTTTTGCCTACAATCTTTTATTAGTTTGGTCCATAAACCTTCTTAGAAAAATACAATTTGACTACTTCCACTTATTAGCTTTTATCTGCATGGTGCCAGTAATCTGTCTGAAACATGATTAGGAAGTGCTATTCATCGAAATTAGATAATCTGACAATTTTGCCGAAATTTCAGTGCAAGGTCTATGGAACAACTAGGTAATAAGTCCGCTTCAAAAACGTGTAATTTCTGCAAAAACAGCAAGAAGCTGTATCTTCCCATACGTCGAAATGTTTCCTACATTGTACCAGTTATTCACTAGGTCTCCTTCTCTATATGCTTTCTTTGGAGTAGTTGATATCCTCCTGCACTTCGTAGCTTTGCTTAGGCGGCTCTTTTTCTCTAGTCCTTTTGGTGGGGCTAAGTTCATGCGTCGTCACTTTTCACATTATGTAGTTCCGAATAAGCTGCTCCGAGGCTTTTGTGAATACACAACAAGCACAATGATCTTCTGATCTTATGGAAAAAACAATTTTTGTGGTGAAAATCTTGATTTTTGGTAAACTTATCTGCTAGCAAAAACCTAATCTCTTCAAGGGTGATTGTGCTCGCAGCAATAATATCTCCTAGTTCTATCGCATTTCATCGAATTCAACTGCTAAGCCACAAAAGTTGACGAATATACATCCTTGTAAAAGGAAATAGTCATGTTAACGTCTGATGTGGACTTAATGCCTCAAAAACGAAAATCTGCATTTTAAGCCGTTCAGCTTAGCGGCAAAAGCCTGGGCATAACCCCAAAGGTACTGAGCAGTGTTTCGAAGCTTTCATGGGATATACCACTTTCTATCCTGCAAAATGATTACACAGTTCGTGATAGATAAAGCTTGCATTACGTATTTTTCATTTTTGTGCTCTCTCAGGACTTTACATCCCACTTCCAGTCTGTCGGTGTCGACCAGTCGTGCGAAGACCTGCCAGCAGACGCGGTGTGCAACGGCCCGCTCAAGCCTGGGACGAACTACAAGTTCAAGCTGCGGCTCTACACGGCTCCGAATCTGTTCTCGGACACGAACTTCAGCCAGGTTGTCAGCACAGGTGCGTGAAGAGTGTGATCGAGTGTGTGCGGCGTTCGTCGCGCCTATATTTTATCGCCGTCGAGCCAACTGTCACTCATTTCCGGTCGTCATTGCAGCCGCGAATTGTCGTTCCGTCGCGCGATCGGGCGCCTATCTTCTTCCCCCCCCCTCACCCTCCCCCCGCGCCCGTTGCTAGCTAGACCCTCCCACTTCCGGCGGCGGAAGGTCTCATTTTCTCACAGTCAACCACTGCGCTTGCGCTAGTGCACGTCCAGTACCTCGTTCTACACTCTCTTGTGCCTCTTGAGCGCTAACAAATTCCATCTTTAGTGGGACTTGTTTTGCGATTGATACGGGGGGGGGGGGGAGGAGGAGGAAGCTTGCGTTTTTTTCCTGCACAATCTCCGCTTCATCTACGCTCCCAAATCTATTATTGACATAAAGCTGATCGCTTCCATCACAATGACCGCTCAACCCTTTTTCCGCTTCGATCGGAAGCGATATGTGCAGTCAGCAGCGCCGTTGAGCAATTATTTTGCGTTCTGCGGAAGCAAAGTGATTCATTTTGCGATTAACACATATCAAATTCCAATTGAAGTTGCGTGTTTTTAGTTCAAAGTTTTTTAGTTCAAAGTAGAGCATTCTGTAACTCTCCATTTCTCATAGTTTGAATCCACTATCACTTTTCGACAGTTTCTTAGGGCATTATTGCGCGGTTTACATAGTAGGAGGAGATTTTTGCACTTTGAGAGATGATATAGAATTTAATGACGTCAGCAGATGATGGGTATCCTCATTTTCCTAGTAAAAAAAATGGTACTAGCTTCGCTTCAGTTGAGGCGTAGATATGCCCCTTTTCGTGAAAAGTGCAGTTTTGGTCCATGCTTTTACTTTGTTGATATTCCACATATTGCTATTGTCTTTCTCAGAATTACAAGAAATGCGTTTTCATTCGAGATGCTTTGTGCTCGTGCATCTGCTACTTCGATATCTTTGGAGAAGCCCTTTTGGTAAAGCAGCGATTCTGGTTTTTTCCATTCCATTTTCGGTACTGCTCAAAATCCTATAAATCAACAAGATTTTCCACGGGGTCCTTTTGGAGTATGCCAGACACGTTCAAATCCCTTTTCAACAAATAATTAAGCTCAGTACCACTTCCATCCTTACCATTCCTTTAGCTCAGTCATCACTGTCATGTGTCTGTGTGAGCCGAAAGCTAAGAAACGCTTTGGACAGAGAAATTTTTTTAATGTTGCTGCTCAAAGGTGATGATATCCTATCATTCATGCCTATCCCAAAGTCTTGGTCTGAATATTCCGGTTTCATTATTTAGAAGTAAAATGGGGGCGGCATCAGTAAGGCAAGATATCACAGCACAGCTCACAAGAAAGGACGTTTGCGAGGAAATTGAATTAGTGTGGAAAAAGCCATGGATGCGCTGCTATGCAACCGGAGACTAGGGCCGAGGAAGAAAATGTGTAATTTCTAGTGTTTGACGTAACGTTTAATTCAACTGGCTTGGCGGCTGGAAGGCGGGGTTTGTTACCTAGCACCCGCTACGCATCTGTGTATCTCTCGCGCGTGCTCTCTGGTCATTATCTAGCCTTAATTAGGTCACGAAGCCCCGCCTTCCAGCCGACAAGCGTTGAATAATCTAAGGGAAGTTAAAAATTTTGCAAACAATTTCGTTTTCTAATCAGTGTTTAGAAGAATTTCCTAAACAAAATAATGTAATTCAGCTTGTAAAATTATCTCGGGGTTTACCCTCCTCCCCCCCCCCCCCAAAAATTGCAGGGTGTTTGTCCGCTGCTAGTCTTGAGATTGAGCTGCTGTGAACTTTAGAAATTCAAAATTTTCCCAACATTCCTCAACAATTACTTTTACTGTCCGCTTTTTTCGGCAAGTACTTGCCATCTCTCCCCCTCCCTCCCGCCCCGGCTTCCTGTAGGTACTTCCTCCCCCCCCCCCCCATAAAAACACACCTACCTCCGTTTCGCTCTCATGCAATCGATTCGTCCGCTTCTTTCATTACGAACTTTGTGGCATAGAATGAGTGGGCACGTGGAGAGCGTCAACACTGAACGAAACGAGGGGGGGGGAATCGCTGAGAATTGTGAGCTCGAACAATTGCTCTGTGCTGTTGTTGTATACAAAACGTTCATCGTTCATTGTTGCTCGAAATTGATTCTTCTTTACTTTTTTTTCGGGTCGCTCTAACTTTATATCTTCTCTTTTTATCTTATTATATCGGACAGATAGTTAAGGACCATCTTAATCCTGTTTAAGCTCTCCATTTACCCAGCTTAGAAGTTAATCTGAATTTTGCTGATCCCTATTTTGAAATTTTTGCTGGTCAGCCTCACCTCAACCTCACAATGTCACAGAATTTATCTCTTGTCAGTGTTTCAAGTCAGATATTTCAAGCTAGATTTTGGTCAGCCGGTAGTTTCCTACACTTTTATATCCCAGTGGCATTTCAATCAAAAAAACTATCTATGAAAAAATCTGGCACTTCAGTCCTAAGCTTTTCTTTTCGATATCTATACGCACTCAGGAAAAAAGCGAAAATTCCCAATTTTTTTGAGATTTTTCCTCGTATTTTTTAGCCGCGCTAGAGGCAGGTGTCGGTGAGTACTTCTGTCATCTCCTAGATACAAAGAAATGAGAGTTGGAAAAAAGTCTTTCTGAATTCTTTCTGGTGCCAAAAATCTTTTTTTCAAATCTGCGATATGGCTGGTAAAAAAGGATAACAAGATTACCGGCGAAACAAGGGATGTAATCCAAGAAGCTTCGACAATCAAAATTTTTGCACAAAGTTGTGATGACTAGAAACCTTTTAGTATTACTTATTACTGCGTAGATTTTCGTAGCCATCCTCCTTTTTTTTCTCAATCAAGTCATGAAAAAGCTCTCCTGGTGACATTATTGAAGGTCATATTCATTTTTTCCCTTAACAGAAAGGGTTGACGAGAGCTTGAAACACGTTATACGATAAACACATTTTAGCCGCTTAACCTTCTAAGAACTCATTAGCGGTGAAAGATTGCTTGAATGTCAGTTTTTCGAGCTGAACGTGAGAAGCTGTAGAATAAACACCTCTGTTTTCTATAAGGCTGTTATAAGAAAAACTTGATGGCCTCAACATTGTTATGTTATCACCTCCACACATCACTTGCTTGTGTTCCAGACCTTTAAAGCCTGAGCAGTTTTCAGGTAATGTCAGTAAGTCTAGTTTTTAAGGGACGATGATGTGTGTTTTGTACATTACCTCTTATCCTCCAAACTCTTTTATTTCATTGACACAAATGGCAAAAGCTTGATTCAACAGCAAAACCAAGCTTTTACTGATGCAGCTCACTTTGTACTCTGATCTACTTCGCCTAAAAAGGAGTATCACTTTTTAGGTGAAGTAGATTACATAGTGATGCTTTATCAAAATTTTACTGTCATAGTTTCCATACCATAATGTGCATTTGCAGTCGTCAGGGATGCTCTCTATTGCTCCGGAAACCCAAGAGTCAGCAAATCTGAATTGCATTTGGTGTAGATTTTCCTCTGCTTCTTGCAATAGAAAGAAGGGGCCCATGACTATTTCTCGACAGCAACCTCATCACTTTCTCCAAATCTACAGGTGAAACGAGGGATGTTGTTCACAGGGCTCGGCAGAAGCTGGACCTAGTGAAATTTCAAGACGAAGTCCTCCTTGACTTGCCCATAATTTGACGAAGTCCCCTTTGACCTAGACCTTAAAAAAAAACTAAACGTCGACCAAAAAACGTCGCAATTTCCGTATTTTTCGGCCATAAAAACGATATCCTCTTTGCTTTTTGTCCCAAAAACGATATCCACCTTGACTAGGTACCAGCTCTGCCAGCCCTGGATGTTCAAAATCCTCTTAGCTCAACTGAGCTTATCCTATTCGACAATGACTAACATAAGTCGTCTTTTAAAATGCTGTATATCAAGCGCAGCCAGACATGAAAATCCTCCGCTAATGGGAAGCAAAAGATTATTTTATCAAGTTCGTAATTATCTTATTCATATTCGTAGCATGTTTGCACACCACTTCGTAGTGACCAGGACTCGGCACAGATGGCTTGCAAGCAAGTTGGATATCGTTTTTGGGACAAAAAGCAAAGGAGGTTTCGTTTTTGAGGCCAAGAAAACACAAAAATTGTGACGTTTTTCAGTCGACGTTTCGTTTTCTGAGCGTTTAGGATTTAGGGTTATAGGGAACTTCGTAAAAAATCGCGAAAGTCAAGGGGGACTTGGTTTTTTGCATTTTCCGAAAACCACCTCGTGCCCGAGCCCTGGTATGACTCCGCAGTCTTTTCGCGTTCATCCACACTTCTTAACGTTTCTCCATGGATGTGTTATTAGACGATGTGATACGATGATGAGAGCCCCGAATCTAAGTGTCTGTGTCCTGGAACATAAATAAACTTAGGGTTAAGAAGAATACCTTTGTAGTCAAAGGCTTTTGACTCCTCCTTTTTGAGAAGTATGTTCCTTCCTATTGCAACATTTTCTTAGCGTCTCCTGCTCAAATTTCGCCTACGTAGAACCCAGAAAACATCTTGAAGGCAAATTTTCAATAAGCTCATGAAATTCGAAGCTATTATTTCATACCCACCCTATGTCTTCTTTACATTCCTTACTTCTACAAGCGCTTCTTTTCCACAAAAAGCCTAAGCTACTTCAAAAAGCCCAAGCTACTCACCTCTCGGCACAAATACAATACCGCTCACAGAATGTGAAAAATTTCCGTGAAAGTTGCGGAATATCTGAAATTCTGCAGAATTTGGCGACAATCCCGGAATTCTACAACATTCCGTGAATTTAGCGTGTTCAAGCGGCATTGCGATTAGTACTCTTCTCTCCGCAAAGAAGATATCAGCCTATTTTGTTGCCTCGTCTCTTTTGTGATTTATGTGCCCGATTTACGTATTCTTTCAGAGCCATCTCCTCGTGGCGCTGCACTAAAACTTATTGCATTCCTACTGCTAATCGTCGTGCTCATCGGTGTGCTGGGAGTACTGTTTACCACGTACTGGAACCGGTCCAAGAAAGCTAGGTGAGTATTTCCGACATGAATAAATGCACTCGTTAGCAATATATTCGAGTTCCTCTACCAATTCTTTTTTTTCAATCATTTTTCACTCATTCACTATCAATTATTCATCCATTCGCACATCCATCCAATCATTCATTCATACTCTAAAATTTGCAGCCCAGCCACCAAATCATTTTCGCCATCATGATCTGATTAGGTTCTGAGATATTATTGTTCGTCACTCGCTCCGAAAAATGTCATTTTTTCAAATCTAAATAAGAAAAGATCCACTACCCACTCTTCCTTCATAGTTTTTATTGATTTCTAATTTAGATTCTGGAAATCTCTGCTCTCAGCAAAACAAACATGTGTGTAGAGTGTCTTTTGTTCGAAACACCAAGATTGTTCGAAAGCTTCTCGGTCCATTCTTGTCTGTTTACAATGAGTTATGGCTCAAAATTGAACAACTTCTGAAAAAAACAAAACCGGATATCGCTTTCCAAAGCCTCGAAGTGCTTGCTTTATTTACCAAAGCAGGCTTCTCTCAGATGTTTACTTTTATTTAATTGATGCGTAGGAGTCCGTTGATTATTGTTTAGTGGTTTTCTCTTTTTGGGATTTCTATCAAATCCAGATTCTAGGGGACCAAAAGTCTGTATCAGCTTCTAATCATGTCAAGAACGCGATGTAGCTTTTTGAGCGTACGATATACTGATGGGCGTGGTGCGAGCAGCCAGTCCACATATCGCGTGAGTGGAGCTGGGCCCTACGCCTGCCTGGGCGACGATTGCTGTCTTATGTCTCGTACCACGCTATCCATTCCATCAAAAAGGCATCAAGAGTGAATCTCTAGTCTATAGACTATAGTCTATAGACTAGTTGCAAGTGAACTCATTTCATGTCGGGCTTTAAAAAGATATGTGATAGTTGACACATAAGTTTTGCAACTTATTTCATAACTTTTCTGTTTTTGATTGTGATGCATTCATTTTTGTGGTTAATGTACAATAGCTTAGGTAGTAAGCTACAAATGCGCACAAAAACTTTTTTTGGTAGCAAAATGGAGAAAATTTACGCATTTTCCGAAAGCATGTCAAATTCGAAGTCCTAAGGGTTCGAATCAAGCCAATGCCGTTCTCAGTTTGAACCAACATCAACCAAAACTGCACCCAGATTTTTGATAGAGGACTCTCTAATGATGTATACAGTTTCGGCTTGATGTGTTTGATGACTGAGAACGACTGTGTTTGTTTTTCCACCCTTGAAATTTTGAATTTGACTAGCTTTCGAAAAATGGGTAAATTTTTACCATCTCGCTATCAAAAATCAAACTGTTTGCGTACATTTGCAGCTTACTACCTAAGCTGCATTATATCCAAAAATGAATGAGTCACAGCCAAAAGGAGAAAAGTTACAAATTCAATTGCAAAACTTATGTGCCTACCTATTATGTAATCATAAAAAATTATGGTTATTATGGCAAAGTGTGGCAAAGCCCACTTTTTTCGTGATTAGGAGCGTACTTTTTGCTATTTGAGATTGCTATCATAACTAATTTCAAAGTGAAGATGACGGTGTATAAATCCCTCATCAGTTTTTCATTTTGAATTTTGTCGTCTGCGACTCTCGAACTTTAAAGATACCCTCTTTTGGTTCCGCGCACTTCCATCAAATACGGGTATACAATACCGCTCTCAGAACGTGCAAAATTTCCGTGAATGTCGCGGAAACCCCGGAATTCCGCGAAGGACCGCGAAATTTTCGGAATTTCGCGACATTTCCGGAATTTCGCGACATTCCGGGAATGTCGCGAAATTTTCGGAATATCGCGACATTTTCGGAATTTCGCGACATTCCGGGAATTTCGCGGAATTTTCGGAATATCGCTATAACTTCCTTCGGAATGCATAAATTCTGGATCTGAAACAAGGGTTATACTCAGCTCATTAAGGCGAATCTTTTGGTACCTTGCCTTACCGTAATTGTCGGGGCACGATTGGTGCACGGTCTGAGATGAATTTTGCATTTTGGGAGAGGGGAGGTGAACACAATATTCGTGTCCTGTACTCGAATCCACCCCTTCTAGTAATAAATAGGTGCTTGGAGCTACTAAATAAACAGAAGAGGGGAAAAACAACATCGACGGCATCATCACGGCATGTTCGCATATTTTAGAACTAACCACACCCAATACCACTGATTACTCCCCCCCCCCCCCCTCCCTAGAATTTCAGAAAAATTGCATAAGGATTCACTTGCTGCCGTACACCCAAGTTCCCTCTCCCAAAATGCAAAATTCATCTCAGACCGTGCACCAATCGTGCCCCGACAATTACGGTAAGGCAAGGTACCAAAAGATTCGCCTTAATGAGCTGAGTATAACCCTTGTTTCAGATCCAGAATTTATGCATTCCGAAGGAAGTTATGGCGATATTCCGAAAATTTCGCGACATTCCCGGAATGTCGCGAAATTCCGGAAATGTCGCGAAATTCCGAAAATTTCGCGGTCCTTCGCGGAATTCCGGGGTTTCCGCGACATTCACGGAAAATTTGCACGTTCTGAGAGCGGTATTGTAATGTGTTCGGCCTCTTCACTTCTTGTATGCCGAATTGATACTCCGAGGAAGAAGCACTTAGCGAAATGATTTACATTTACGCATAGATTTAGTCATGGTAAGCGGAGGAGCGCATGTCCTGATGAGACAGCTAGCTTAACTTGTAAATCTCCATTAGCTTGATCACATTTGCACAAAAATCCTGTCGAATCTTCTACTTACTCCACTTGTCTGCTCTTTATTTTTATGAAATATGATCACAATAGCCGAAATTTTTGCTTTTTTGCTCTATATTCTGCCAAAAAAAGCTAATAGTTAACGCAAGCCCAAAAACTACGATATTACAAAATTGGATCGTTGGAGAAACTTGTTTTCAAAAACTCAAATCAGCTTCGCAAAAAGTTTTTTAGCCCTCCAGCTCTTTGTTGATGGTCCGTTGTTTTGAGCTCGCTGAAAGCTTGGGCAGCTCTCAAAAAATTTCCGCCGGCGTAAAGCCTCCACTTGCTCTTTTCGAGAATGCTTATGTTGCATCATTCTTCCCCCTTCTCCCCCCCCCCCCCTCCCCACCCCTCCTTAGTCACTCGAAAAAGTTTTTGAAATCGCTAGTTTTGTATGATCGCATGTTCAGCTAAATGGAAGCTGTAAAATTTCTTTCTTCAGTGCACTTTAATGAAAAAAAGCTTATTTATTGAGTCTGTGAATATCGCAGAGCACAAAGTACTGCGCCAACTTAAGAAATATTTGTTTTTGTAATTCAAAGTGCTTGCGTTCCTTTCGAAAAGCTGTATAATGCTGTGACCGTTCTTTGAAGTAATGTCTTCTGTGGTTGTTACAGTCATTATCTTTCCTCGTAAAATTTCAAAACAACCTTTTGCCTTTGCCGCCGTTTTACCTTATCCAAACTTCGCTACTTTTTCTATGAGTCAACTTTTGCAACATTTTCAGCCATGTTTCACTCCATTTAGTCCACGTCATTAAGAGCAGTAATCTGATAAATTGCTAAGTGAGTCACCTTGTTCGCAAAAAAAAAAATTCAAATTCTTCGATTATGAAGCTGGTTCGTTACGAAATTATAGTTGACGTGAACTCAAATTTCATCAAGAGGAGTGCACGATCTGCAGCCTTGAGGGTGAAAACCCTGCAAAATTCATCTTCTCCGTTCAATTAGATGACTCAGTCACATCGCTGTGAATAGCTGAGGGCGAAGGAAGCAGCTAGCACACTGCACGTTCCCTCACCGAAACTAGCTTTCTCGGGGCGCGCAGTGGTTTGAAGGTAATTTATAGTATCTTAGTTTTTGTAGGATTCGTGACTAGTGATGGAAACGATGTATTTTCCAAAAATCAGCGATTCTTGGTCATATGTAGGTCACATTCAGCTGTGTAGTAACACTTGCTTTGAGTAAATGCACCATTTTGGGGTCTAGCATAGTAGATCAAACGTGATTGTGGGATCACCATCATGATTGATGATATGGCAGTAAACATGATACGAATAAGTCTGGCACAAGTCAAGGAAAGCCCTCATTCTTTGGCATTCCCCCCCCCCCCCCCCTCTCTCCCCGAACGGAATTGTGGCCACGAAATTTTCGAAAGTTACATGATACAAAGTGTGTAAGTGACTTGTTTATATTTGTAAGTGATTAGTATGATTTGTTGAATTTTTGAAAAATTTGATTGGCCTTGTGGAAAATTTTGCGGGGGTGTGGTCGGATAGGGCCGCAAAAATTCGGTTCCCCTCCCCCCACTGAACGGAAATTCTAGGACCGCCATTGCTGCCAAGGTAAAAGGATGTGGTGCATTTACACGCGAGCTGGAATGTAAATGACTATAGGCGTCTGCTTTTGGCTCGACCACGAACATTATATCTCAAAATCGTCTCGAATCTCGAATTTCTTTTGACTCCTAAAATGATGGAAGATATGCATGAAGGCATGTCTTAACGAATTATGATCTTCGAATTTTCTATTTCCACTTGTTGATTTTGTTTGGAACAAAATTTCCAATATGTACACAGAAAGGCAATATTCCTACATAGCAAAATTGTATAGTATAGCAATGTAACTTCAGTATGTGTTCAGAATGTAATGGCACTCTCGTCCAGCCTATGGGGAAAATATTTTTCGTCTCTGGAAAGTTCACCTTTTTTGTGAGCTTATATCTCCCAAGGAAACTTATAATACACCATGATGATCATAAGGGAGCAAACTTTCGATCGTATTCAAGCCCTCAATCTAAGCCTTAGGCAAGCTCTAGTTTCATCAAATGCAACTGAGCATATTGCTCGGGTTCGCTTAGAGTTATATTGAAGTTGTTTCGTCCTACGCACACTTAGTCAAGTTCTTTGCGCTTCAGATTAAATCTTATTAGAGTACAGGCTTATAAGTCCCATGAGTAAAATGCTGTTATCGATTTACGTATACGTCGTAATTCGAACTAGAGGTGTAGAACAACGACCGCAATCGTT